CAATCTGGACTAACTGCTTAATAGCCTTTCATTGTGATTCCTGTTTTGGATAACACTTAATACTCTCAAATATTGACCATTTACAATAATTCTTTGTTTTCCTGTAATTAAATTGCTGTTGAGACTCAGGTATGTGAAACTGTAGTAAAAATCTTCATTAGCCAAAATGCTCAGACAGTAGAAGGTCAGGCATTTCATGTTCTGCTTATTGGACCAGTATTACTGTAATACTCCCATCTGTGTCAACATCTGTCCCTGAGAAAAGTAAAGTTTAGCATCAGGCTACTCTGCAAATCCAGGTACAACACTTAACAGCTGTTAACCTTACGCAAAGTGTGAGCTTCTCTATGCTTTTGTTCTTTCATCTGAAAAATGGGGATAGTAAGAAATAGATTGAAGGCAGAGGAGAAGGGGACGACAGAGGATGAGATGGTTGGATGGCATCACCAACTCGGTGGACATGGGTTTGGGTGGACTCTGGGAGTTGGTGATGGACAGGGAGGCCTGGCGTGCTGCAGTCCATGGAGTCGCAAAGAGTCAGACACGACTAAGCAACTGAACTGAACTGAAGATTTCATAAGATTGAAGATTGGGAGCATGGAAAAAGTTCGCACATGAAAGTGCTTAGAGTAGTACCTAAAACCTAATAAATGTCATGTGAATATTAGCTACTAGTAATACCTTGTGCTATCAAATAAATTATAATTACTTAGTATTCTAAATGAAAACCCATGGGAATTTGGGCTTCGTTTGTGTTTGGGCTGGATTCCACAATGGAAACCAAAAGCTGATTTATTGTTCTGAAATACTTAGTCTTTTTGTCTTGTTCACTTCTTGACACGTGCCTTCTTCCTAAAAGGCAGTGGAAAGTTCAGAGTCTTTTTCTCATCCTTCAATTATTAACTTGAGGTAGGTTTAAATGTGTTCTAAGAAAATTTCCTTAAATACTTCTTCCCATAGCTTTGTAAAATCCCTGTTGTTTAGCTGTGGAAACATTGCTTGGGGAAAGGTTTTGAAACAATGCGTCGTATGGCCCATTTCTATAAATAATGGAAGTGGGAGTGTATGTTGCTGTCTATGCAGAAAAAACAAGGCCAGCCATAAATACAACATGTAAATAATGATCATCTGCAAGTTACTGTTTTACAAAAATGGTTTTTTCCACCCTGACTTTTTCCCTTTTTTGTATTTTCTAAATTTTCTTTGATGAAAACCTATTTTTTAGTCAAATAAAAGCTTTTTCAAGGGTATTTTTAATGTCCCTTCGTTTCCCCCCAGCAGTGTTTAAATTAAACCTTCATTTCAAGCTTTACATATTAGATATGAGCTAAAACAGTTATGTTTTTCCTTATCAAGTACACACTGAGGTGGCTATGTGTTTTTTAAGGGAAGACTTAATGAGTAACTCTGGACTGAGGTTAATTTCTGTTCATGGGATCAAGTTTTATTTTAATGAGAATGTAAATATGTTTAACCTTACTGTAGACATGTTACCGTAAAACTTACGTATGACTTTTGCTGTCAAAAGCCATTCACTAAACGTGAACAGTGAGCCTGTCAACACATAGGGAGCTCCTGGTTTTGTATAGAAACATCAGTTCAGTTCAGTCGCTCAGTTGTGTCTGACTCTGCCACCCCGTGAACTGCAGCACACCAGGCCTCCCTGTCCATCACCAACTCCCGGAGTTGACTCAAACTCATGTCCATTGACTGGGTGATACCATCCAACCATCTCATCCTGTGTCGTCCCCTTCTCCTCCCGCCTTCAATCCTTCCCAGCATCAGGGTCTTTTCAAATGAGTCAGTTCTTCCCATCAGGTGGCCAAAGTATTGGAATATAGAAACATATATTACTTTTATTCTATTAAGAATATATTTTTCCTCACTATTTATTTGGTAAATATAATTGAGTGCCCACTTCCTTGGCTTATTTGCTTAATAGTTGGTGTGGATATTTGGGGCTTTATTTTCTCTTTAACAGGGTGGATAACCCTGCTCTTAGAAAGCACACCATTTCAGTTTTACTGTTTTTAAGGTGTACACAAGCCGTGAGAGAACAGTTAACAGGAACAGTTTTATATTACCTGTCGAGTTTTTAAGAAATACGGATTAAGGCAATAAACAGAATTATGGGAAGATTAGTAGAACTTCTTGGGAAAATATTTTCTTTTAAAGTGTTTGGCATTCTTGTTTTTAATAGTTCCACTGTTAGTTAAGAACGTGTCCCCAGTTTATTTATGCTACTTCTGAATGAAGTAGTAATATTAGTTATTTTTCTGCTTTCACAGTCTTTAGAACTTCTTAATGGTTCTCTCTGCTCTTCTACTTGTAAAATCTTTTGATTCTCTGCCAATATTCTACCTTCATCTTCCACTTTTCACTCCATATGCAATGTTTAAATTAAACCACTCCTTAATATTCTGTGTTCCTCAAACATGTTACTCATTTTTTTACTTTTTCCAGACCTTTTCTTTAAGTCCAGGCTCAAATGTTAGTACCTCTGTGGATATCAGCCAGGATTAATTTATCCCTCTTAATTTCATAATACCCTACGTATTCTGCTATTCTGATATGGTGTCAGGGCTAAGAATGTCTAATTTCAAATATAGAGACTGTGTTTTACTTACCTTTTATCACCCTCCTGGCACATCTTGAACTCACAGAATCGTTGTACTACCCTCTGTAACAAATGAGGTCCTGGAATCAGATGTTTTGGATTTTATGTTGTCACATTTTCAAAATGTGATGTTTGTGTGCAGATAAATATATCCATTAGTAGGCATGAACATTAGTGGAGATAAGGTTGCATTAAAGAATAAAAATACCACTGGAAATTTATTAGTGCAGATTCCAAGCGGCCTTACATTAGACCACTGTGTCATGGTATCTGTAGCCACTGATTGAAGCTTTCTGTATCAGATTTTTTTCATGAGAGGGAATTGCCGGCAGGAAGCAAATAGTGAATCTCCAAATACTGATGTATTTAGATAAAGGAAATCAGAACCACATTTGCACATAAATGGCTTTTTTTCCCAAAGTTTTCTTTCAAGGCAACCTATAACTCTGAATATATTTTGAATAAAATACAAAAATGTTACGAAGAACATCTGAGTTTCTTAGGGGACGTGACAATTTAAGTCAAATTATGTTACAGTGAATTCTGCTAGGTGTTCAGATTTTTCATTTTAGTGGACTGTGATTCTAACAAGTCCATTGTAAGAAGTTATTTTCCCAGTGTATAAAGAGCTATGCCTAAATTATGACACTGCGATCGATGCTGTGTGGGTGTTCAGAGGTGACGTTTGCAACACAAGAAGGAGTCTTCATATCCCTTTTCCATTCCTGCCCTTTATTTTCCTAGTAGTGGAAATGTGTCTGTGTATGTTTTGATGGTATTTGGACTTTATGAATTTGAAATGCTTGTCATTTGATAAACTGAAAATAGAGTTGGATGTCACGTATTAGACTGAGGAGCAAGAAAGAAGTTTATTTATCTGCAAATTTGAGTATTAATAGGAACTTCACAGGGAGAGATGTTTAGGAAATAGCATGTTTATAGTCACTTTATTACCTATAAAGACCATAATATACATTTTTTGGGAAAGGTTGACTGGCGAGAAGTCATTTGAAATGTGGCAATAAAGCACTGTTGCCACAGAACTAGCATCATTTTATAAAGCCCTTCATTATTAAAGGATTGATTGTATCTGTATTTTTCCTTTGTTGTTAATATGTTGCTTAGTTACCAAATATGTTTTGTATTCATGTCTTTAGAAAGGGTTGATGCTAAATTTATTCAATTATTTTAGTCATTGAGAAGAATCATTGAGACTTCAGGCAAGTACGCTGATATCATTGTCAAAATCAACACCTGAGATGGGATCTTTGCCATTCCTGTTGTTTTAGGAATTAATGAGGATAGAAATAAAAGCTGATATTTATAAGATAGCAAAATAGATCTATGGTATTAGAGAAATCATTTAGCTTACCTTTAGTTGTAGAAGTTTATATAGGCAATGCCATCATTTGGTTTATCTTTGTAAAAGCTTTTTAGATTCCCTGGCTGGAAGGTTGGTTGTTTATTTAAATCTGGTTTCTTTTTTTAAAAAGAATAAGGAATTTGTGGTAGTTTCTAGTAATTTACATATGTCTTGAGCTAGTTAATTTACTTAAGGAAATCCTTTTAGGGTCAAGAGACATATAAAATTCATATTCATTACCCAAACCTTATTGTGGAGTCATTTAAATAACTAATAAATTCACTTAATAAAAGTATATTTATACTCTTAGTAAAGTTACCAGCATTGTCTCAAGTTTAGGAAGAACTGTCCTTTTGGTGTTTGATGTATGAACTTCAGGCAGATTGCTTAACCTCGCTAATGATCAGTTTCTTTGTTAAGTAACCTTAATAATAAGGAGATAATCTTAAAAGTTGCTAGTAACTACGTTTTTCTTTGTGCCCTGGAGACATTCCTAATATAAGGATTCATGTCTTACATAAAACTCTTCTATACATACAGCTCTTCTATAAAAGTCATCCCACCTTCCATTATTTCCAGTCTTGAAGAGGATTAATTCTGCCAATACCATCTCAAAACTCTCCATTTTTTAACCAGAGGCCCTGCATTTTGCTTTTGCACTGGGCCCCACAAATTATGTAGACAGACCTAGTCCACAGAAAGTTATTTTTAATATCGAATTATAATATATGCCGAATAGTAACTGTCTGTATAAGCCAAGTCTTTGGCCCTATAAATTTCCTGAAGTGCAAAGGAGATCTTTGAATACAAATTTAATTTGAATGTTTTGGGGTAGGGAAGTATTGACTGACTTGGGTTACCTACATAGTAGACCTTTTTAAATGTTGGCTGTCATAATAGAGGGCTTTTGAGATTTGCTGTTTAAACAAATTCTGTCATTTTAGAACTTGCTTAAAATAAAAAAACATACTGCTAGTGCAATAAATTCAAAGCAGGATCTAACTCACTGTGTCATTACAGGTTATCAAGTTATGCCCAACCAGCAGCAAAGCTACCAAGGCATAGTTGGAGTTCAGCAGCCCCAGAGCCAGAGCCTCGTTGGCAGCCAGCCCAACGGCGTTGGGAATCAGATTCAAGGAGTGGTCATCCCCTATCCTTCAGTGCCGTCATACCAGGTCCGTGGTCACTCTCTTACCTGCACTGGCTAGAGGTGATTTTCAATAAATAAAATGTGGACTACTTTCTTCTCTGCTTAATGTGGTGAAAGGCTTCTGTAATGCCTAACTTTATAGTCTTGAAAGAGTTTTATTAGTTGTTACAATTTTGTTCAATCCTCATTTTATTGCATTATTCATTCACTTCATTAATTTTTTGAAAAATATCTGAACCGTGTTAATATTGTGAAGTAAATTTTTCTGGCACTGTTTGTGTTTCCAACTACCTACATATATGAGCAAATATCTTATTCTATCCTTCAGCTGCTTACAAAGTCTCTTGAGGAGAGAGTGGAACAGGAGGGAAAAGTAAAGGTGTAAGTAGGTGTATGAAATAGAGTAGATTATAAATTAGTGTTTATAGAATAAAGAATGTGCAATTTCCCATGCTGGAATTGATATCCACCCCCCACACCACCCCCACTCAATGAAGAAAAGAAATAGTATGTCTGGTATTGAAAATGTCATGCATTTTAATTCATAATTCTCAAGTAGAAATACCTACTGTTTCATTAATATGTCAGATTTCTTTAGCCCATACTGTGTCACATTTTCAGACGTTTATTTTATCTTCCTGTACCTTTCTGGAGTAGCCTGCGAGTGAGTTGTTTTCTTAGCCTCATGTTTTCCCATAGTTGAGTCTGATGTTAAGAAATCCAGGGGCTATTTTCATTCAGTCCCACAACGTAAAAATAATCAAGTTGGGAAGGTAGATGTACATATATTTTATCTAAGGACAAGTCAACAAATTGATTATAATCTACAGACCAGTAACTGAAGGAATTATGAAATACAGCCATGGATAAGTTGGGGACTTAATACAGAAGAGAAAGACATAAACCTTTAATTAGCTCTTAAAATTATGGGCATAAATTAATTAAGACATTCTGAGAATAGGGCAGGATGTGAGCAAAGGAGGTAGCATATTCTGTGAAATTGCAGAAAATGAAAGCCGTAATTAAAATGTGAAATCGTTGAGGACTTTTTGAGCACTAAGAATATGTCTAGTTTTGAAGCCCTTTGATAATAGAAAGCGACTGAGGAATAAAGGTACATTATGGGAACAGATTTTGCATCTTCTCTCACATCATCCTTGCTTTTTACTTCAGTCCTCCCTGCTTAAGGGGCTTCCCTCACAGCTTAGTTGGTAAAGAATCAGCCTGCAATGCAGGATACCTGGGTTTGATTCCTGGGTCGGGAAGATCCCCTGGAGAAGGAAATGGCAATCCACTCCAGGATTCTTGCCCGGAAAATCCCAAGGACAGAGGAGCCTGGTGGGCTACAGTCCATAGGGTCACAAGAGTCGGACATGACTTGCGACTAAACCACCACCATCCCTGCCTAAGTAGAGGCCCATGAGACTGCCCATCTCCCACTTCCTCCATAGCAAGACATTAGACAGGATCACTACCAAGCCAAGAACTCTGCCTTCCCAAAGACCCTGTTCATGCCACCTACCTAATCTAGTCTGTCTAGCATCTGTCAGATAACCCAGGCACTATGCAAATAAGATCTGCCTTGAAATATAAGTTTAGAATAAATTATTTCCTTGTTATTGTTTTTTTAAATGGAGCTAGATACTCAAAGTGTTTCAGAGCTGAGACAGCTGTTATAACTTCTATAGCATACTTTTTTACAAGGTACATTTTTTCATGGTATTTCACATAATCCTTACATTGGGTGAATGATTGTGAGAAATGTTGCTCTGACAAGCGATGAATGATAGAAAAATGCTTCATTTTTCCTACCACATTTGGTTAGAAAAGCTAGGTGGTGATAAACTCATCTAAATAAGAAGCCAGAGGGAATTCCATGGCAGTCCAGTGGTTAGGACTCCTTACTTTCACTGCCGAGAGCCTGGGTTTAACCTCTGATCCTGCAAGCCTCATGGCTCAGCTGAAAAAATTAAAGTAAAATTCTTAAAAAAAAATAAACCTGAAAAGTCATCTATTTAGTAGAGTGTTTTCTATAGCTGTACCTTCTCAAGTACCATTTCTTCTCTTTTGGTACTTCAGGTGTTTTCTTTACCACTAGTTACAAATTTAATCTGTAGCTTAAATCATCTAGATTGAGCTGTGTGGTTTTTCTTAGATCTACTAGCATATACACTAACTTAAATACTATCGAAAATAATAATAGAATGTTACACTACCTCAGTAGACAAAAAGAGTGAAATACATTTTGTCATACAAAATTGAGTAAATCAAACCAGCAACGGTATCTGCCTATGAGCCAAATTGAAACTAATTCAGAGGGTACTGTGTATTTTCAAGGGCCTATAGGAAAAACCTAAAAGTTAATCATTAACTTATAAATCACAGAGCCCAGATACAGAGAATCATGAAGTAATTGAAGAACTGCGGCTCTGGAGCCAGTGGGCATGGGTTCAAACCCTGACTTCTCTTCTTGATAGCTGTACAACATTGGGCAAGGTTTTAACCCTTTCTGTAAAACAAGGATGATAAAAATACCTTCTTAGGGTTGTTAGGAAGACTTGATGTAATAATATATATAAAATTCTTGGAACTGAACTTGAAGATGGTAATAAGTACTCAATGTCAGCCTTGACTGTCATCACCATTAACCACTGTTACTGTCATTGACACTACTACTGTTGACATCAGCATCAGCAGAAGCTTTTACTGACCAAAACCACTGCAATGCACCTGTAATGTGGCACACTTGTAAATTATAAAACCGTTAAGCCTTTGTGCTTTTTATTTTAGATAACTATGGAAACTGGAGAAATGAATCCATTATGTTTATATGGTTTCTGTGTAGATACTGTAGAAAACAGAATTGAAAGATCTGCTGTTCCTCAGATACCTTCTGTACTAGATCGTGGAAATAGAAATTATAATAGCCCTCCTGAAGTGAAAGAGACATCCCATTTTTGCAGATAATGAACTCTGAGGCCTCAGAAGAGTTAAGTTATTTGTCCAGTGTCACATGTACAGTAAAATTGATGGATCATTATCACATCTAGATATCTTAAGCTCCAAAGCTCATACTTCCTGATCCAGTGTATCTCACCAGTACCCTTACCTGAGTTTTACTTAGCTCTACCTGAGCTAGATGTTATTATTCTTTCCATGTCAAATGGTTATCCTTATTTGGAAACAATTTCTTTTTTTAAATAACTTCTACTTTGGAACACAACTCCTGGCCTACTGTACTATTGATAAATGCTAGCCAAAAACAATAACTGGCTTAAAAAATAAAAATAAAGTGGTAATGCTGTAACAAAATTATCAGGACAGCCTATGGGCAGGTTTAGCTTATTCCTAACTGCTCATATTTGAAAAGCTTAGGGAGGCTGGAGACATTACCTTTGCGAGGTTTTGAAAAATCTTTTTCCCTTTAAATTGTCTTTCAAATTTTAGGTTTCACTGCCTCAAGGTTCTCAAGGAATTGCCCATCACACTTATCAACAGCCTGTTATGTTCCCTAATCAGTCTAATCAAGGATCTATGCCTGCAGCAGGAATGCCAGTTTACTATAGCGTCATTCCATCTGGCCAACAAAATAATTTAAGGTGAGTGAATAAAAAGCCTAATCTTATAGCTCCTCATTGTTTATCAGGATTATGGTCTGTTGCTAATTTTTTTAATATGGAATACTTCATGCATTTGCGTGTCATCCTTACACAAGTTGCCATAACCTAGTAATATTTTACACATTTGTAAGAAAGTCACAGTGTCTCTCATTGTTCATTAGTAAACTCTAAGCTGTAGTCCTGAGCCAAACACTCATGTTTTTACTAAAATATAAACAGACTATAAGGTTTCTATAAGAACACTAAGTGAGCCTTTGTTCTGAAAAATGTCTTCCTTAGGTTGAGTTGCTTAGCAATCCATTTTCTTGTGGAAGCTCCTTATGCAGAAAAGTAGAATTTGAATTATCTTTACTTTCACCTCAACTAATCAGTTATCACCAAGGCAATTTTGTATTTGATTGTGTTGTTACATGTACTATGAGGATTTAACATAGCCTTATTCAGATCATGTGTGTTGTCCCTTTCAGCAAGCCATGTACCAGTCACAAAAACTAGTTTTACAACTAATCATGGTACTTCTTTCAGTCAATGATGTAGACAAAAAAATAATTTCAAAAAACTTAAAAATTTCATTCCTGTAGTCTGCAAAAGTGGCAAGCTAGTTGGATAATATCTTCAAACTGCTTCTATTTGAATGTTGTTTTTTTCCCTTCCTATTTTACCATTTATTTTCCCATTTTTATCTTGAAACTCAAAAGGGGAGTATACTTTTGTCTTTGATCTGCAGTCTCAAAGGCTAGCATACAGAGAGGGGAACTTGAAGAGACTGTAACCTTTATTTTTCAGAAATTTGTTAAAAAGATGCTTCACAGAATCTTTATGAAACATGAGAAAAGAAATCCTACTTTTTAAGTTTTGTTCTTTTTATCATCTGTGTTTCCTCATCTTTGTAAAGTAGTATTCCTCTAGTGTCCCCTTTGTCCTATTTCTGGAACTGTCTTAGATTCATTTTATTTCTCTTAAATGTCTTGTTTTGCATTTTTGGCTTTTTGTTTGCCTCAGTCATCCTTTGAAATAATTGTAAGTAACAAAGTCTCAATCTGAACCTCATCTTTTAGTGAAATTTTACTTCTGTTATTAAAAGAGAAGTTGTTAACACAGCCTAGAGAAATAAAATATATTAAGAAGGTTACTTTTGGTGCTAAAATATTTCCTTTTCAGAGTATTTATTTTCTCTCTATTGGATATAGCAGCTGTTTTTGTGAGCATGTATTTATCAGAAAAATTAAGTAGTAAATTATATTGACAAAAGTAATGTTAAATGGAAAGAGAATGCTTAAAGCTATTTCATTTCTTGTGAACTCACCAAAAATTAGTGATAATAAATATTTTAGATTAATAATTTTTAAATAGATACCTTTAAAAAATAGGGAGGAATGGTAATATCTCATGCAAAAATCTTTTCATTTTTCAGTCTCTCACTGAGTTTCTATTGAGAAAAACATTTCTCATACATCATGCATTTTGTCCATTAAAAGAGCATTTTCTGTATTTAACTTGTTTGGGTTTTTCTGATTATACATATAATACATAGTCATTGTAGAAAATTTGAAAATATACAAAATTTCAAGCTGTAAAAAAAGATGAAAAAGCAAATCAGCCACAACCTCACCATTCAAGAGATAATAACTGTTAAATTTTGATGTCTTCATTCAGGTCATTTTTCAGTGTACACATAATATGTGAACTCTGTTAGGAATCACATGTTCTAAACATTACATTTTCTATATTTTTAATTACATTATTCATAATCTTTGATTTAAAAATTAAACCACTTAAAAACACATGGAGTAAGGGAATTCCTTGGTGGTCCAGTGGTTAGGACTTGGCGCTTCCATTGATGTGACCCGGGTTTAATCCCTGTTGGGGGAACTAAGATCCCACAAACTGCTCAGAGCAGCCAAAAAACCGCACACTCATGAAATTGCCCTTCATGCAAAGCGGTTACTATTCATTGACCAAAGTAATCAGAGTTTGCCATTTATCTTTCTAACACTTTTTCTACTTTTAAGTAGATACATGAAAAACTTTATGGTTTGAGGAGAGAGGTTTGGTGTTTCTGTTTTGAAGTAGATTAGGGATATTTTCATTTGTGTTTCAAAATTCATTTGTCACTGAATTTTTCTGCACATGTTGAATTATTTTTATGAATATTTTGTTTGTCATCTTGCTTTTTTTCATTGAATTTGTTAGCCTTGAACATCTTTTCCAGAGTACCTGAATTTGTCTGTATTTTAGACTCCTGATATTATCAAGTGTTTGTGATTTCAGAAGTATGAAATTGATACGATAAAGCTTATTTTTTTGAAAAAAAATGAGCTCAGTAGCAGTTATTAAGAACTGGGTGGAGACCGTAAGAAGTGTTGTGATTTAAGCGCATTACGTGACAGGTTGCTCAGGTGTGGTGGTAGCAGTAGGAAGGGAGGAACTTTGAAAGAAGAAATGAATATTTGGTGATAATATAAATGAGAATTAAAGGAAATTTTGAGATACCTTGGTGGAAAATGTCCCACTTGCAACTGTAGAGAATCAGAGTTAGAAATTAGTGTCATTTTAATTTGGATTTGTTTACTTACAAGTACTTACTAGATCTAGGGTCAGCACACTATTTTGTAACAGACCAGACAGCAAATATTTCAGACTTCATAGGCTAAAGTATCAAATTATGGGTACTATCTTAGGTATGTATGTAACAAGAGAGAACATAAATTTCCAAAAAATTTTTATTGACAGAATTCAGAATGAAGTGATTGAGCACAAATTTTTTTCATACAGCCCTACTAATGAGAAGAATGGAATTACTTTAGGTGAGGGACCATTCTTACCTCGCAGGCCATTAGAGAGCCCCCTGGTCCTGGACTTTTTAACTATTTGTTAGATTTTTACAACTTTCTTCCTCAAGTGAATTTTAAGCTTTTTCGAATTGTTTCTCAAAATCCATCCTTTCTTCACAGCCCAAGAATTTGACTGGCTTGCCATTCTATTTGATATTTCTTGAGGCCATAGGTAACCTAGATAACAAGTGATCCCCTGAGATAGGCCAAGTTTAGGAAAGTTTTGTGTTAGAATTGCCCCCTCTGGCGTATTCTATATATTTTATTTTGTGAATAATTTCTGTGCATTGAGAGTGTGCTGATGTCTGTGTTTTACTAATCAATGTTGGGGCAGTATCAGGCATGTTGATGAAAGGATGCTAAAAACCGACATCCTCTTGATTTCCATTTTCAGCCATGATATAGTAGAGACCAAATTTAAAAACTAAATCAAATTTAAAATCTGCCTTAAAAACTAGAGAAACATATGAAACAACAGTTTTCATTAGGCAGTTAGGGACAGTAAAACCTGAGAGAGGGAGAACAAACAGTCTTAACGATTACCCGAGCTTCCTGCCTGCAAACAGTTTCAAGCCACACCTCAGTGCAGGGGAACCCAAGCAAGACCCTTAAGTTAACAAGATGGAATTCAAAGTCCAAGGAAGCCAAGGTGGCTTAGAGTTTACAGGGCAGGACACTGAAGAGAAGAGAGCTGCAAAGAGGTTGGTCTGGCCATCTAAGTGGGTCCCTTTTGAGTCTGAGTTGATTGCTGACTGGTGTGTGTATGTACAAAACCTACCCAATGCCAGGGAAAGAACACCTCAAAAGAAACAAGCAGAACAATCCCTGAACCTCACACAAGGACAGGAATAGTTTATATTCCTACCAGCCCACATGTCAAAACCTTGTAATACAAGAGGCAGTGAGTAGAGGACTTAAAAGAAGACTGTGTCAGTAGTGTAGGACAGTTAGCCTTAGATGAAAAGCTGCTCTGGTTCTGCCTTAAACAAGCAGGACCCAAAAAGATTAAATTGTCTCCATTTAACTGTGGCTCAGAACAAAGCTCAAAAATATTATTAAAAATTCAAGGATGTCCAGCACTCAACAAGGTTAGATTCATATTGGCTGGGATCCAGTCAAAAATTGTCAAGTATGCAAAGAAGTAAGAAACAAAGGCTAATAAGGGGGGGAAAATCAGTCAATTGAACCTGACTGAAACGATGCCAGTATAAAATTCAGATAGAGGAAACAGACTGGGGAAAAAATGAACAGAGCATCAGTACTTTTTGGCCTAATGCATGTGTAGTTGGCATCCTCAAGAGAGGAAGAGGGTGGACCAAAAATATATTTGAATAATAATGGCTGAAATGTTTTAAAACTTGCGAAGATTATAAACCTGCAAATCGAGAAATTTCAACAAACTTCCAGCAAAAGACATATGGAGGAAATTTCTTAAAACTTTATAAAGGGAAAATTATAAAAGTAGCCAGAGAAAAAAGAACATTACATATAGAAGAACAAAGATAAGAATTTGGTAGACTTCTTGTTAGAAACAGTACTATTTCAGACATGCAAAAACTGAAAGAATTAATCACCGGCTCACCTGCACTGCAAGAAATTCTAAAGGAAGTCTTTGAGATAGGAAGAGAACTATACCAGATGGAAGCTGGCTTCACAAAAGAATAAAAATGAAAAGTCAAGCACTATACTGACTGGGAAAGCATATATTTGAAAAAGTTCTTAGTATATCAAGAATCCTTAAACCTCAATAATTAAAAAAAAACCTTCAGAAACAATTTGTTTAAAATGTGAAACCTACCATATGGAGCACTACTACACAACAGTTAGCATTAATGGTGAGGGAAGGTGTGGAGACTTGGTATTCTTAATCCAAATGGAGGTTACATAGTTTTATATCATACAGTTCTTAAAGATACAGTTCTTAAAGACCAGTACAGTATACTAACGCATATATATGGAATTTAGAAAGATGGTAATGATAACCCTATATGCAAAACAGAAAAAGAGACACAGATGTACAGAACAGACTTTTGGACTCTGGGAGAAGGCATTAGTGGGATGTTTTGAGAGAACAGCATCGAAACATGTATATTATCAAGGATGAAACAGATCACCAGCCCAGGTTGGATGCATGAGACAAGTGCT